TTATTTAAAGAAGTGGACGGTTGCGCAGATTAAAGTCGAATTGGATGAAGTTCACGGGCACTCTGCACCAGCGTTGAAGACCGTTTATTTTAGGATGAATGAATTCAAAAGAGGTCGGATATCAATCAAAGATGAAGGGCGTCCCGAACGTCCAGTTGAAGTTACTACGCCAGAAATGATTAAAGAAATTCTTCGTATGGAAGATCGTCGAATGAAGATGCGTGATATAGCTGAGATTGTAAGCATCTCAGTAGATAGGGTGCATAATATCCTGCACAAAAAATTAAAAATGAAAAAGCTTTGAGTACGATGAGTGCCGCGATTATTGACATAGATCAAAAACGCATGCAAAAAGACATTTCGTAGTAATGATTGCTTCAGTGCAATCCACAAGACTTTTGGCGTCGATTCGTGATCGTAGACGAGACTTAGATCCATCACTATACATCCGAATCAAAATAGTAGTCGAAGCAGCGAACAGCTGGTAAATGTGTGCCGAAAAAGGCGAAGACTGTTTTGTCGGCCGGAAAGATAATGGCCACTTTAGTTTTCTGAAATTCTCAAGGAATCATTTTCATTGACTACTTACAGAAGGGTCAAACAGTCACAGGAACAGAAGGGTCAAACAGTCATAGTCATTATTTTATACTTTTGAATCGTTTATACGAAGAATTGCAAACGAAACGGCTGAGATATGCGCGTCAAAAATCATTTTTCACCATGACAATGCTTTGGTTCACACTTCCATAGTTGTAATGGCAAAATAGCATAAATAAAAATTCAATTACTGCTTTATCCATCCTATTTTCTTGATTTGGCTCTTTATGACTTTTTCCTATTTCCAAACTTCAAGATCTGGGTCGGGGGAAAGAAATTTTTATCTGAAGAGGAGGTCATCGCTTCTGTGGATGTATATTTTGAAGGTTTCGAGACTTTCTATTCTTTTGAAAGAAATAAAAAATTGGAACATTGCTGGATTATGTATAGAGTTCCAAGGAGACTATGTCGAAAAGTAAAAGAATTTTCTGGAAAAAAGGTGAATTTTTTTTCTTTTTTTTTTTTTTTTTTTTTTTTTTTGGTTGTTCTATTAGATGG